GGGGGGGACGGCGTGGCGGGCGGCGCGGACGGCGGGGAGGCCGAGCCTGCGACCCCCGACGGGCCCGAGGCCGGCGCGTCCCTGGCCGTGGCGCCCGTCGTGGCCCCCGGCGCGCTGCCGCTGCTGGAGCCCGACGTGAGCCCCCCTCCGCCGCCACCCCGGCCGTCGCCGCCGGACGTGTTCGCCGGCTTCGCGCCCCATCCCGCGGCTCTGGGCCCCCCGACGCTGCTGGCGGAGCAGATGAGCGTGATTGGCAGCCGCAAGAAGAGCGTGAACATGACCGAGTGCGTGCCGGTGCCCAGTTCGGAGCATGTCGCCGAGATCGTAGGTCGCCAGGGTGAGTGGCCGCCGTCAGGGGCACCGCCTGCCCCAGGGAGGGGGTCTCCACAGCCCAGTTCCCGGCTGAGCACTGGACACGCCCCGCGTGGGCTCCGGCCTGAGTGGCCGTCTTTGCTTTTGTCCAGCCGCCGGCCCTGGGAGAAAGTTGGGCGCAGCCTGCACTCCTCCCATCGCTCTCAGGCCCGCCGCCGCCTTTGTCTGGGCGACTGTAGCCAGTACAGGGTTATGCCTGCAGCGGCTGTCCAGGGCCCCGGCAGCCCGCAGGGTCACCCCAAGACAGGTCTGGGAACCTGGCCCGCGCTGGGTGGTGGGCGCTTTATCCCCGCCAGAGCCGTGGGGCGGGGCAGGCTCAGATTTGGAGGTGGCTTAGGGAGGGCCTGCTGGGTCAAGGAGGGAAATCTGGTAAAGCAGAGAGGGAGCATCCCAACACCCGCAGTCTGGGGACCCCTTCCTGGTGGGCTGCTAAGGGATGTGAGAGGATGCTTTGACCCGCTCTCTGCCCCCAGTCAGGCAACCTGGCTCATGGACGGGACAGCTGCAGAAGCTGCTTTGGGGGCACCTCCACAACCCTCCTGGGCAGGCTGGCACTGGGCAGGCCCAGGGTGTGGGGGTCCGGGCAGCGGCATTGTCAGAGCGTCCCTGTTGCCCGCCCCATTGTTCTCTTTGTTAGAGAGCCAGGCTAGATTTGCAGGGTGACATCAGGCTGGCCGATGCTCATTGGCCCTCTAGCTGTGGGGCGGGCAGGCGGGTGGTGGGCAGTGCCCAGCCCCAGCACACACCCACCGCCCCTGTTACGGCCTTGTCCTCCTGCCCCACCACCCCCACCACCCCAATGGCCCCAACTGTCTTCTCCTTTCCACCTGCCCCCGCCCCGCCCTTAGCTCCCTGCTGCCTGCCTGTGATCAGCCAGGTTCTAGAACTCAGGGTGGGGCCAGGTGGGGCTGCCAGACATCAGGCTGGAGGGGGGCAGCCTCTGGACTCTCAGTAACAGAGCCAGAGAAGGGTGTGGGGATTTGAATTGCAAGGTCACCTGTCACCCTAGATGCAGGCAGGGGACCAAGGATGCCCGACCTTAGCACTGCCCTTCCCTAGTTCCAGGTGGGTAGACCAGTTGGCCAGCAAGCCCTTTTGTCTTTCCCTCATTCATTTGTCCACCCTGTGTGGGGACACACTGAGGGTCAGGCATTGTGCTGGGCCTAGGGGCCATCATGAGGGAGAGGGTCAGGTAGTTCTCTGAGCCCTGCTGTCCCAGACGGCAAGACCCTGGGCAGGACTGCTGTCTCCACGTCCCTGCTGCCTTTCCCCTCAGGCCCATAGCCAGCTCCTTTGTGCCCGGTGTCTAAAAGCTTGTGGGAACAGACATGCAGCCCAGGTCTGGGGTCTTCTGCCCAGCCCACCAGGCAGGCCCTGGGGGACAGGGGAGGAATGTTCTCTGTGAAAGCATGGGTTCTGCTGCCTAAATGTCCACTCCGGTTGAGTCAGGCAGAGGGCATCTGGCCCAGGATCTCAGGCTGAACATTCTTTAGAGGCAGGGTCATGGGGAACCCACCCTGGAGCACCAGGTTTGGCCCTGATCTCCTGGATGTAACTTGGCACCCCTCTGAATGGTGCCAGGCTGGGATCTTGCAGGCAGCAGAGAGCAAGGTGGCCCTGGGGTACAGAGGGCCCTGAGCAGTCACCCTGCATGCTGCAGTGGTCCCCTGATCCCGAGCAGAGAGGCCTTCTCTGAGCTAGAGATAGCACTGCCCATGGGGTTGTCTTGAGGTGCTCAACAAGATGCTGCTTCTGATCCCAGCTCAGAGTGCACACAGTAGCTGCCTCATAAGTGGGAACAGGGCCCTAGGGAGGGAACCCTTAGTGCCAGGACAGGATGTCAGCTTCAGCAGTCCGCCCCTCCCAAGCTTCAGAACCATCTGTGGCTCCCAACTCCCCCCATATTCATTCTCCAGGGTGTCCATCAGTCCTTTGTGCCTCAGTTCTGCCCACTCTGTACCCCATTCTTCATCCTGGGGCTCCTGTCAAACCCCAAGTTCATGCCACCCTCCTGTGGGGGGCAGGAGAGGAACACCTGTCAGGTGCTCTCCCTGAGCCTGTGGTCTTAGTCCTTGAATGGGTTTGAGGGCTTTCTGGACACAGCACAGTCATCACCCCTTCCCCCAGTTCTCTGCTTGCTGAGCTGAGGTCCTGGGCAGAGGGTACTTTCCTCTTCTTCCTCTGCTAGATCTCTACCATGGGGGCAGGGCATGCTGCAGACTGAACCCAGGGCCACCTACTACTGAGCCACGCCCCATCCCTTATTATTTCTTATTTGATACAGGGCCTCACTAAGTGCTGAGGCTGGCCTCGAACTTGTGATCCTCCTGCCTCAGGCTCTAGAGAGGTGGGATCACAGGCATGGCCATCACACCTGGCATGCCTAGATCGTTAACATGAGTCTCGCCTCTGCTGGCCCCACTTGTCCTGCCTTGTCGATGTGTCCCACAGAAGGTCCTTGCTGCTTCCCAGGTCTAGAGGGGAGGGAGTCGCTGGTCACAGGTGGAGAGGGGCAGGCCAGAGTGAGGGTCCACAAGGGGTGGATTCCAACCCTGTGAGCAGGGCTGGGTCAGGGAGGAACTGGAGCCTTCCTGCAGAGAGAGTGGAGACGCCCAGTGGGTCAGCGAAGGCCACCCAGGGACCACTGCGCACTTCCTGCGGATTCCATCTGAGACCCTCCCAGCTGCCTTCTGACCGCCCTCTGCATGTCTGTGCCCTGTGGCTGCCTCTCTCTGCCAGTTCCCAGACAAGACCCCTCCTGGCTGTGGGTGGGTGCTCAGACCACCAGGGTCTGCAGGGCTTGGATAGAAGCCACCAGATTCCTCCCTCTCTGCTGTTGTCCCAAGCAGAGGACAGTGGCCTCAGACTGCCTCCTCAGCTGAGGGGAGGTCCACATGCCCACTCTTCTCCTTCCCATGCCTGTGCCCGTCCCACCCCAGGGCTCGTGGCTGGCCCCCACCCCATACTGTGTGCTTCTCTGGGGGCTGGCGATGGTGCTGTGGTGTTGGGGGCACGCTGCCTCATGCCTGTTGTACCCTGCAGACCCCTGTGTCAGGCCTGCTGTGCCAAGCATGCCCAGAGCTGGGCCAGTTGAGCCATGCCCCTGGTCTAGGCCCTGTGTGGGACCTTGGCCCTGCCTTTGTGGGAATAGGACTGGCCACAGCAAAGAGAGGATGGTGGGGGCTACAGGGGCAGGTCAGAACATGGGTCAGCCTCTGGCATGCTCACCAGAGTTGGAATCTGGGGCAGGGCCAGGAATCTGCACATCAGCCTTGCCCACTGACTCCTGGTAGCTCCCAGGACGCCCAGGCCTGAGGCTCACCCCCGCCACCACCCACTTTTGCCTCACTGTGCCAGAGGGCAGAGGTGCTGCTGCCCACCCTGTAGCCCCAATGTCATGGCACTCGTGGGCCTCCTGGTCCGACCCTGCCACTGCACAGCGTCTTAGAGGGTGGGATTTGAAGCAGATGGCACTCAGTTGGCAAACTGGGCTTGGGTTCTCTCCTTGAGACCCTGTGGCCATAAGGGTTCCACCCAAGCCTGCCATCTGGGACAGGGCAAGGTGGGGCAGGCCGGGGAAGCTGCTGGCTCCCAGCCTGGCCACACCCCCTTCACCTGGCCTCTCTGCCATCCGTCCACAGCTGCTCCCACCCTGCACCTTGTCATCTCATTCAGCCCAAGCCAGGCTGAGGTCATGTGAGGTGCCCTCCAGCTGGGCAGGAGGGAGGTCAGCATGGAAGGACCCCGAACCAGACTCCATCCCAGTGAGACCGAGGAGGCTCAGTCCAAGTCCCTGCAGAGCCACAAAGCCCCACCCTGGTGAATCCTGCACCCTTTCTCTGCACCTTTACTCCTCCCCTCTCTCTTAAAGGGCACACCTGGGGCCGCAAACCACTCCCTGCCCTCCGAGCCA